ATGTTTGGATTTGTACTTTGGTTTGGATGTATTTAATCTGACATTGTTGTTACTGCCATATGATCTAGTTTGGTCTTTTTTTTTACACTGCTGTATGATGCACAGATTTAAGTTCCCATTTCTGGTCTGTTATGTTATTGCAAATTTGCACCAATCAGAGCAGCAAGTTTTGATTTCAGCAATGATTTTACAGGTAGCTACCCTAACATGGCTAAAGGAGAAGAAATCTGATTACTGGATTGAAGTTCCTTCAACTTGAAATTATTTTTTTCAGGCAACTAAAAACCATATAGAGACAACTTCAGTGTTTTCTTTTCTTGTTAAAAAATTCAATTAACTTCATTCAAATATGTATTGAAACTTCTTGAACTGACCTAATATATTGTTAGCCTTTTTAGTTTTAGGCTCTCAGAAACAAATAAATATGTTATGGTGACTCTCGTACTTGTCTTTACATTTTAAATCTACAGCAGATGGAAGTTCTGTGCCATCAAACCTCTTTACTTCTGGACATTACTGAATTGGTTTTTTTGCTGTTGCTCAGCTAAAGGGCCAAGAGCTGGAGAATAGGTACATGTTTGGAAGGGGTTTAGAAAATTTTCTAGCTCCTAAGTGAGACTGAAGAATCTTTTTGTAGTCTACATATTCATGTAGGGGAAGATAAGACAATAGGAATATGGGCAGAAATAACTCAAGAGGACTGTTGCCAGTGGGGATTAAGCGGATTAAGAATTTTTGGATTAAATTGAGATTCAGTGAGGAGTTCCCACATCCTTTTTGCAGATTAAACCTAGCAGTTTGGATGCTATTGAAAGAATGCTTTTTCCCAGGAACAAAGAAATCAAGTTCTTCTTTGCCCTAAGTGGAAGCCAGTTCTCTTGTATTTCTGTGGAAGAATGCAAGCCTAAATCTCATTTCAGAGAGATTGAGGTGTAGTATTAAATGGCTAATGCATTGAGTTAGTGCAAGGACACATAAATGGGCAATTTTTTTTTTTTTGCAAGGGTAGGAACAATCTCTTGATATACAAGTAGATTGTTTCACAGTCTCTTCTATTTTTCTCAGTGTTTATATACTCTTTTAGAATTACTGCACACAATAATAATTTGTTATTACCAAGCATTCTTTCTACAATAATTTTAAATTCAGGAGATGGATTGATATTAGAGAAAGGGCAATTTGCATATAGTCATATAGGACTTTAAAAAGTAAAGGAAAAGAATGAATGCTGCAGGTATCTACAGCAAAAACTATAGGAAGCATCCATTTTGTGTACTTCTGTATTGTTATTTTTAGAATAATGAAAGAAAGTAGGGAGAAATTAAAATTATTGGGGGAGAGTTTTTTGTTAAAAAAAGAGTCAAAACGGAAGATAAAATGTAGCAACCCATAAAGAGAAATGTTTGATTTGCAGGATGAAGTCTTAGCACATTGTTATCATACTATTCAGGTTTTAATTTTTTGCCCTAACACATGTTTCAGGATACAGTGCATCAGCTACATTAACATTGGATTGCACTTCATCTGCCGTAAGTACAATTTTTAAGTATGTATGTAGAACTAGTAATGCTATATAGCTATATTTATGAACAATGCTGTAATTGATGTTTCGTTCGTTCTATAATTTTATTAATTTATTTTTATTATTTTTGCCTGTGCAGTTATTTTACATCTTCCAGTAAACTTGTATATGTTAGCTTAAATTTAGATGTGTATTCTTTGCAAGCTGTATTTATTGCAGTTGATTTAGAATCCAGTGCCTTTAAAGTTATGCATAGAAAGCACTGTGCTTTTGTCTTTGTTGAAGATTTCCTAAGTGGTGCTTTCAGAGCTTGTCTCGTAATGCTTAGCTGCTTTCAAAGGAGCAAACCCATATCTGACTATCCAATAGATTGTCACCACTTTAATTGAAAAGGACAACTCCCATTCACAAGCAGTTTGTGTACCTGTACACTGTGACAAGGGGTATCCTTTTAGCCCTTGTTACCTAGTTAATGGTGAATCTAGAGTGCAACAGCATTTTTTAAATGGGTTAGGAGGGTGGAGCTCCAAGCAGTCATTGAGAGTGGGTGCTTCTTCACCCGGGAATCAGCCACAGTGGGGTGCAGGGGTGGGGAGCAGCTGCAAAGACATCTATTTGCAGCCACCAGGATAGCTCAGGGGGATGGAGCCCTCAGGCAAGGCTCCAAGTGGCTCTCTACATTGCCAGCAGACTGGCAAAGAGAAGAGTTCTCCACTACTCCTAATGGTAGTCTGATCCTTTGATTTCCATGGCGACTGTCTCAGAACAATAATGAATTAAATTCTGAACGAAAACATGAATTAATGTTTTTGTTCAGAAAGTTCAAGAAGAAAGTTATATACCTTTTTTAGAATAAGGTTTTGCTGACTGTACCAAGGGGAAAAATGATAAATTTAAGGTATATATTTACATTCATATATATATTTGTACAACACAGACTTTATATGCACAGGTGCGTGTGTGTGTGCGTGTGTGTGCGTGTGTGTATAAATAAAAATGCACATACACTTTAAAATAGAAGCATAAAATGGAAATTTTTTATGTTTAAAGTACTCTTGTATGAAGCTGTAATTACAGCTATTCATTCTATTCCCTCACTAATTTTTTTATCATGCATTTCTTCTAACTTTTATATGCAACTTCATTGCCTTCAGTGGAAAGTGTCCAGTTTTTACCAGTGTAAGTAAAAGCAGAAAGTTTTGAGATGCTTCTAAAATATGATGTAACAGTATATGAAAAAATTTGAATTAACTTTTGAATAACAGAATCCAGATTGTGAATCTCCTGAATTGAGATTTTTACCAAAGCTTTGTGGTTAAATCCTGCTTTTTATTTACATGCATTATGGAAAAACTAATATAGATATCCTCCTTTCACTAAAACTTGGATTTACTGGAAAAGAAAAACATAAGATTGAAAGCTGAGCTATGGTGTAGGTTAAAAGAAAAAGAAAAAAAGTTGTGGAATAAATTTCCATAATTTACAAAATTAACCACAGAGCTCTTAGTTAATAGGGAATAGTTGGTACAAAAATAAAAGAATGTACCAGGCATTTTAGGGGTGATTCTCTTTCTAACTGAAATAGTTACAAAGTTTCAGTGCATTAAGTTAGGTTTTCCTATTTCTTAATCTCTCAATATTTCATTAATAACAGAAATATTTCAGAATTTCACTTAATGTGCTGAAATCTGTTGATGAAAAAATAAGAAACCAGAAAGACTAATTAAGGTTACTCATTTAAATTTAATGGTCTACATTATCTAGTGAGTAATCTCTATATTTTGAAACATTAAACAACCTTTTTCTAGAAAGGGAAAGCATGTTATACTAAACTTTCATTTCACAAAATACTTTTTCTCTCAGTACAGTGAAATGTAGAAATAACCACTGGAATTTCATGAAATTATCCAGGAGTTTGTCACACTAATTACTGTTTCCAAGCCTTTAAAATCAATAAAGCAAAATGCTGATGAACTTAAAGTGTACAGAACTAAAGGCTCTAAACTGCAGGCTGTATGTTTTTTCTTGTTTTGTGTGGCATGAACAATGTTTAGCTAGCTCCAGGAATTGCTGTTAGTATATACTGACTTTGCATTTAACGGTGCTTGGTTTTAATGACTGTTTAGGGGATTTGGTTTCCATACATTACACATGATTTACGAAAGAACAGAGTTTTACAGGCATTGCTCATTTTAAAGGCAGCTCTAGTTTTGGGGGTTTTTGTTTGTTCTACATTTCATACTTGATCAGAAAATATCTTTAATATTTAGAAGTTTGCTTTATGCTTTGATCAGTAATGTTTTATCCTATTGACCTTTTATTCTCACATACAGTAGGATATCTTTTCAGCAAACAAAAATGTTATTATTTTCATGTAGCACATTCTAAAACCAGAAATAATGTCATCTCCATTTTCTTGTCTCTGAAAATGAAGAAAATGGATGACAACTATGCCTGATCTGCTTCTGCTGAGGTAGGACCTCCCTGTCAGCGGTACAGGTCCCACACCAAGCAACCTAGCAGAAACAAAACCAAAGATCAGGGATGTTTAAAAGGGCATTGTTATTCAGGTATTATTGTTCAGCCTAATGTTAGACTACTCATTGCTGACATACCATTTATTTTGATATGTGGGGAAGCTCTACTACAGAAATAGTCTAACAGTATATTGACGTATGATTCCTTTTTCTCCCCCATTAGTGTCTTCTATGCTGTGCAGTGACTTCTAACTATGGAATCTGTTTACTGAAAAAGATTCATATGGTTAAGTTTTTTGTCTGTTTACTCACTTAAATAAATGTTTTCAATTTAACACAATTTGTAATGAATACTGTGAAACTGTAGAAAGAATGAGTTCATGAAATAGAAATAATAATAAAAAATGCTTTTCTCCTCTCAAAAATATTTATTTTAATATGTGGTCATATTTCCCTGCATTTTTACATTAATTGAAATCTTATTGTTCTAGGAAAAAAAAAAGAAAATTCCCCCATCATCTAATTTTCCAGTTGTTATGCAAATTAAGGAATATACACACAGGCATGATTTGTGGTTTTAAAACAAGGGAATGTGTAAATTCATGATATCTTTAAAAAGCACCATGTCAAGCACTTCTCTCATGGAGCCTGTAGCTTACAATTTACATTTCAGTTTAGTATAAGGCACCAGTTTGCATGAGAAATCTTTGGTTGTCCTGTAAAATGCTTTAAACAGTTAATTTCACTCATTTATTACAAAGGAAACTTAGTTAATGTTCAGAAGGAATTTCTAAGACTTAGAATGACTGCTGAAGTTCCAAATACTGTGCAGTCTACAGACAACAAATCCTTTTGGTTTCTTTGGAAATTACAGGATAACTCAGTTCTTTTAAAGGATGCAGATGGAGAGCACAGAGTACAACCTCAGCGAGCAGTGTCTAGCTTCTGCTGTTCCTGCCTGTAATCCTTTATTTTCTTTCCATCCAGAATCATAGAAACAGTGGAAAGAAAGTGACTATAATTATACAGTCAGTTTAAAGAAGCTTTTCTTGGCAACAGAAGATAAAATCAAGCACTGTATCAAGTTAAATGCAAAGCATGCTACAAAGCTTATCTCTTTGCTCTTGAAGAAAGCTTTGTGAGAGTAACCATGAGCCTGGAGCTGAAACACCCAATGCTGTGGTAAGCAGAACATTCCAGAGACATAAGAATAGTTTTTTAATATTTTTTTCTATTAAAACTCACCAGTGCCCTTCTTCTGCTTCTCCAGGAAGTTGTACCCGTCAGCACCTGCTGAGGGCTTCGTTGATCAAAAAAATCAGGTAAAAAAATCCCGGTAGAATAAAGCCAGACCAGCTGGCTTTAAAGAGAAGCCCCCCAGTTTGGGTTGTGTTTGCCTCACTCACCCTCTGCTCTGCAGACCCAGGCTTTTTCTCCTTTGGATGTTGACCTGTAGGCTGTGTGATGTGTGTGCACAAGTGTCTGGCAGGCCAAGGTGCACCTGCTTCTGTCACTCCTGAGTAAATTTAGCTGTAAAAGGTATCACTGACAAGCAGACCTTTGTCAATGCTGGCAAATGAACAGAGCATTGCCATCCCCCTTCAAAAGTATTCTGCAAGTTCAAATGGAAAATATTTACTCGGTAGTCTTATCCAGTATCCAGGAATTGCTCCTTCAAGAGGAAGGAAGGCCAAGAGGCTCATGTATGGCAAACAAATTTCTTCCTTTAAATAGATGTTAAAATTACATTATTCCAAGAAGAATCTATGAACAAGATGAGGCTGTGTTCTCTTAATTATGGCTGGAAGAAAACTTTTTTAAAATAGGAACACAGCACACAGACCTTGAAATTCAGGTTGTTAAATTGTGCTAACTGTTAAAGTTGATTATCTTTCTCTTCCATAATTCATTGTGATTTTTATCCAAAAAAAGTATTAGAAAACTTAAACATATCCCATAGAAGGTATTAATCTCATTCCCAAAATTAAAAAGCATGCAGAATTGAGAGTCTGAATTTCAAAATCACATGTTTGTGATTTGCTACATTTTGTAGCACTTATGCTGTCAAAGTCTGGGAACTAGACCCTTTTAAAATGGGACCTAAATTAAATGGAGGGTCTTTTGAGGGAAATTATCAAAACTTAGTATGCTTATCCTTATTGAATATTTATGATTTATTTATAATAAGGGTATTTATAATTTATATCTGCCCCTTGCTTTTCTTTTTCTTTTTTTTCTTCCTGGAGATGGCTTCTGGTAATTGAAAGAGAAAGGTGTAATTTACACCTGTGTGTCTTCTCACAGAGTTAAAAAAAGAGTCACCAACATAGGTGCCAGGATTGGTAGCAACATACCTAGTTACTCCACTTTCCACTTGAAAACTAGGCAATAAACTCAAGTGGCTTTAAAGAAAAAAATTCAATAGTGTCTACTTTGCTCTAATATGCTATTTAGAAGGAGAAAAATATTCCTTTCTAACAAATGAGGCAAAAATTGCAGATCAGGAGCTCTTTGTAAGATAAACAAGGTTCCTATTTACTTACTTGTATAAACAACCACTTGCCAAGCTTTATGTCTCTGCAGGGGCACCCTTTCAGATAGAAACATGGACCTTATTAGCATCATCTTGTATCCATGGAAACATTTTAAGTACTGCTCTCTCAATATGTACTTCAGTTATTCAGGGTTCAAGAGCTGAGTACCAAATAATTAAGTGTTTTTATTACTTTCTATGTGGGAGCTTGGTTCTTGGGGCTCATATCTGTCATAATAAAGATCTTGTACTTTCATGATGTTTGATAAAATCAAGTGTTTCATTTCCAATCTCCTATCTACTCTATTCTTAGATTAAAATTAATGTTCTAAAAGTCCTGATGAATTGAAATTCTGAAACTTTTCGTTATCCTTTACTGTTTGAAAAACAATGATCATAGTTCACATCACCATCTGACTAAATCAATGTTCTTATTGCATTAGTCTAGTCTGGTTTTCTATATTTCTGAAAAAAGGAATAGGAAGAAACTTATAAGAAATCAGACTATTTTCTCTTTTTAACTGCCATACCCACTCATGTGGCTCTGTTGTAGGTCACAGAAGTTGAGAGCTTAATTGTCTTGAAACTGAAAAAAAGGATGAAAATAAGGGAGCTTATTCTGGGTTTTTACCCAGAAATGACTGGAAAGCAAAATAATAATTTTTCTTTCAAGATGTGTCTGCCACACTACTTAGTTAAAATATCAAAGCATAGAGCTAAGAGAAATAAGGGATTTTATTGATACTTCCATGTAGAAAAAGAAACGTTGGCATGAGCTACATTTATTTTCAAAGCTATCATTCTGAAGAAGATCCTTTGCAGATCAAATGTTATTATTTCAATATTATCTTGGCTCAAATTCAAAACTCTCTTGTAATTCCACCTATTAATTGGTACAATTAATGATGCACATTTTTAATGTACTGTGATTTAAAATATATGAAAATTAGTTACTTCTATCCATTAGTTAACATCTTCTATGTATTTTTAAAAAAATCCTGCCCTAATTTTGTTTATAAAACCATATTCTTCAATTGAGCCAGGCTGAAACTATGAAATACCTTGTTAATCACAATGGCTATCAGAAAAACACATTTCTGTCTGTAAAGATCCAGTACTTCTCTCTGAAATGCTACTGTTTTAGAGCCTTGGTTTGGTAAGTATATATTCCTGCATATAATTTTCATTTACTACTGTTATTGTTTTTATTTGCCACATTGTGTCCACAGCACAGTCCCTGATGAGTGCAGATGGCACAAATGATTTCTCCACTGATTAGGCTGGAACAGTATTTGTGTAGAAATTCTGTAAAACTTTGATATGTGATAAAAACTGCTACCTTTTTGCATGCCAGATTCTCCATATCAGGTTTATACTTTTATTTATGGATATCTGTTTACAAATGTGTAATAATTTTATTTTAAAAGTGTGATCATAGTGTAGGCAAATTGGAGCTGCCTGACCCCTTTTGAAAGCCTCAGTGAGTACTCCGCCTGCGGGCTGGCCTGTTTGCTCTGCGGATTGCCACATGAGACCTAGGATTGTGATTGCTCTCAGGAACTTTTACTGTGAGCCAACTAAGCATATCAGAGAGGTGAAACTTTCAGCCTCCAGAGAAGGAAGCTGTGCACATGGTAATTTTTCCATTTCCCTTTCATCGTGTCCCTGACCTTGCTACAAGGTCAAGGTTGCTGGGGTACTAAATGGGAAAGTAGAAAGAGAACCTAATCTCAACTCAGCCCTCTATGTGTTCAGCCTGAGGTTGATGAGGAACCTCTGACTTTGCTCATGATCTTGAAAAAAAAAAATAAATTCAGCTACATTCTTGAAGGATTGCTCAGGTGCATTGCAAAATACAGTGAAAGCTGGTCTTGACTTTGCACCTTTTGAAATGATGAAACCAAGATTGGCCCTGTTGAATCTAGACTGGTAAAAATCCAATTCTTCCTAACCACAGACCTTGGGGAGAAAAAGGAATGAGGTAAATTGTTAGTGGTATCTCTTGGGCACATAAATCTTCATCTAAGTTATATGTTCTCAGCTTTATGATTTTTAGCTTTTTAATCCAAGATGTCTTTTTTTTTTTCCTCCTAGCATTTGTTAAAGAATCACTTCCAAAATGCTAGAAAGTCAGCCTGAGCATATTGCAGATAAAATCTGTCTCCCTTCTCCATCACGCAAAATAGAGATTCAACATTTGGCCTATATTCAGTTTTTCAGGTGCTAAAAAGCTATGACAAAACTGCACAGATCGTATGATAATGGGCATATTATACAACTCTAGATCATCATATGCCTAACTTATTATTACTATTTTAGTTTTCCACAGATCACTTTTCTAGCACCATCAACTTAGGCATACTTCAGAAAAATAAAGACTCATTGAATGGTTTTTGAATTTATAGGTAAAATACAAATAAGTAGGGAAAAAATCCAGGAAAAAATTTAAGAATATGACAAAGGAGCAGGTAGTATTTTTGTAAAAAGAAAAGTGAGTTGAGTTATGTGAAGACTCTTATGGACAAGCAGAACATCAGCAGAACAAAATGTAGACAAGGAATTCTTCAAGGAGTAAAATAACCTCCTCTTATTTTTGAGCTATCAGAGCAAACACAGGCCATAAATTCTCATCCTTCCTGAAGCATACCCAAATAAAAAGCACTGAGAAAGAAACCTGACTTGCTGAAAACCAGCTATGTTTGAGAAACTTGTGCACAAGAAGATTGGTTCAAATTTGGGCTAGAAAAGGTGTGGGAGTCTGCTTCCACTGGTAGGAGCAGCGATTTTCCAGGAGAGAATTACAAAGTTACAGTAGCAAGGTGATGGAGTGTGAAATTCCCTGTTCACAAATTTACTCAAATAGGTGTAATGCAGCGGTAAATATACATGGACAAATTTGCTTGTGGTGTCCCCTCTATCATTGTGCAAACTCTGAAAGGACAAAGGATGTAAATATATATTTGGCAAGTGAGAGAGAGAGATCAATGTTACATAGGTTTTCCTGATACAGAATAGGAGCTGAGATTTTTCCCTAAAGAAAAAGTATTGAAAGGTAAATAGAAAGTAGAGGAAAAGAGTGAGTTTAGCTGCAGCATTCTGAACAATTTTGAGAAAAGGATGTAGGGCAGGGTTAAGATAGATAAGATGAGGTATCTGACAATTTAAGTGGTTGTTAACAATGGTGGTGAACCACATTTCACAGAAATGAAGAACTTTATTTAGGAAAGAAGTTGCACAGTAAAATGTTGGAAATAGGTAGGTCCATAAGATAAGTCCCAAGGTGTTGGGAGGTGTAATAGGTAGGTCTTTATGAAAGAGAATGGAGTAAATGCAGTGAGGTACAGAAGGAGACAGAGGGAAGAGATAGTGTTTAAGTAGGAATAATTCTGTTTGTGGCTGTTTGTAGGCAGAAGCAGATGCATGATGTGCAGCAAAACCAGTCAGATTTGACATAAATGTAGCTGAAGGCAGGAAAAAAGATTATCCTAGAATCACAGAATACTAAATTAGAAGGGACCTCAAGGATCATTTGGCCCAGCCTTGGAAAAAGCATGTCTATTAGGGTGGGAGAAAAAGAAAACTTTGGAACATACTTCTCTGCTTTTCCAGTTTTATGCTCTAAAGTGAAAACAACTTTTCAAAAAAGAAAATTAAAAGCACTCTAGGGGAAGAATAAACAAGTGAATCAGAGAAGAATGTGACCTTGCAGTGAGTTACTGATTCTGCTGAAACACTGAGACAACTGTATACACAACCATACAAGCACATCAAATGCTCCTATTTGTAGATTTTGTTTAAAAAATGCAAAACAAACTGTGGGGAGAAATTATTCGTGTAGTTGGAAGAAGTACTTTCTGACACACGCAGGAATACTGGGTAGCCAGTGTGTTTGTGTAATTCAATATGCAGGGCATAGGGGCAGTAAAGGAGGAGATGACACTGCAGGGCCCAAGTTTGGCATCTCATGCAGAGCAGCCTTTGAGTAGCTCTGTGAAGTTTGTAGCACTGCCTCAGTTACATGAAGTTCACATAGAAGATACACACTAGGTGCACACCTATTAGGTGACAGGCTGATAATAAGGCTCATTCTAGGAACTACAAATACCAACTCACAGCAACCTGTCTTATTAGATTCTCTCACAGTCAAAATAATAAAAATGAAAACAAATTTTGAGATAGATGTGAATGCATCTATACCGCTGGAGTGAAAGCAGCTGCAGTCTGGAAGAACTCAGTTATGTATAGGCCATTATTTTAAATGTGCTCCAAGATTCTGTCACCATAGAAAAGACATGAGAAATTCCCCAGGAATGTTTACTGCAGAACAATTGACACTGGTTATTAGTTACTTTAAAGTAATAAATAGGGACCTTTTCTGCCAAAGTGTGGTTTGTTACAGACTGATCTGCTATGTTGTATAATTCTTTTACATAGTAATTGCTAGTATAGTTGCCTGAGAATTGAAATGAAAATATGATAGGGAGTCATTCACAGATACTATCTAAAAACAAGCTGAAACCCTCAAAATGTTACGAGCTTTTAGAATGAAAAAATTTTAGTGCAAATCAGCAATATGGTGTATTGTCAAATTAATTATTTGAAAAGGAATATTTATAATAAATACTGGAAAGGATCAGTGAAATAAGAGGTTTCACTAAGTATTCCCAGTTTCATGTAAAAATGACTCAACTCCTCTTCCCACAAGTCATTTTTCATATTTTGCTGTTGTCTCCCAAACACATAAAAGCTCAAATTTTATAAATACATTCTGTTTAATAGATAAGAGATTTATTTTGCATTTGTCCCAGTGACTACAAAAGATGCTTACTAATAAATGAGTAAATGGACCTCCTTCTTTTTTAATGCTTTCATTCTATATGAACAGTTGATTTGAAAGCTACCATTTGAGGTAGTTCTGGGACCAGAGACATACACAAGTTGCATTGAGATTTTCATTGTTTATGACTAGTCAAATTTCAACCATTCAAATTTAAAGTTACCATTTTGGGCTATATGCCTAGTGCTGGATTTTCTATGATGATTTAGCCGTAATTTGAAATGAGCAGAAGGAGGGGTATTCTAGATTATATCTGCTGGCTGCTGTCTGCTCCCTACCTGTTTGGTCACAGTTTGTAGTACAAAAGGAGGAATATACAGGTTGTTCTTTCTCTCTTTCCATCTTTTTCCTGCTCCTTGGAATGATACAAAGAACTAATCTCACCTTGACTTTGTCCCACCTTCTCACTTCTAAATATGACAGCAAACATTGTCCAGTGCTCCATAAGCAGTAGGCAGAAAAATGTCTAGTAGCATTCAGATATTCTGAAGAATTGAGTTTTGCAATAGCCACTTGTATATACAAAAATATAATTCTAATCCTCAATTGTTTCTTGGCATTAATGTACCCTATTCATTGAGACTGAAACAAAGCTGATGTCTCTAAGAGCACTGATTTGAACAATATCCAAAATCAGTCTTAGGAATTTTGATTAGCATCTAAATAAGTGTTAAATAAATGTTACTTTGGAAAAACCCTGATCGAATGCATTAATGATAAGTTGTGAAGTCATAGTAATTGCTTATATGGCATTAAATAACATAGATAGCATAGTTAATTGATATCACTGTCTCAAACATGTATATCTCATCAGCTGCCAAGAAGCTGGAGTGATTATGGCAGTATTAACTGCAGTTGAAATACATTAGATAAGATGCATAAAATGGAAACAAGCATTTGCTATGATCATTTTACTTGGTCATTCAGTGACTTTATTTTTGGTAAATGTTGCTTGGCTATTAATGAATGCTTCCAGCTTTCTGATGAGCTGCTCTGTTCTAGATGAGCTAGATTTTAAGGGAATATGGTTCAGATGACGACTGTAAGTAGTTCAAGGAGTCTGCACAGGGTGAAGTAATCAGTAAGGTGCAGGGATCATGCTGATAACACAGTCAGGACCAGGAAGAAGTGGATCAGGGACAGGGCTGAGATGAGGCTATGCTATGGCTCATTAACCCAGTCAGGGAACAGTGCAAAGATGGCACTGGTAAAAAAGTAGGAGTCTGTTTATTCAGGAAACAGCTACCCAGAGCAAAGCCTAATAATCCATTGAGAAACTACTGCACTTAAAACTTAGCTCCGATTAATTAAGGCTGATAATTTGGGAGAAAATACAATGTGTGTTGGTGAGACAGCTGCTGCACAGTTCCATTGGACTACAAGGAGTTTTTTTCGACAAAATTAAGGTGTTAGCTTAATGAAGAACTGGGACACACAAAAATGACAGTCTGCATCAGCCACTTCAGCACCTCCCAGCACATAAGTCCAAGCAAAATTGTTGATTCCAGGGGAAGTTTCTTTTGGTTGTAACTTAAGAGAAGCAACAGCTGAATGACAAAAAGGAAAAAAAACTGGTTGAGCGTGTTTTTGATGTCATCAATGTCAGAAAGAGGGTGCCACATCCGAGGACAAAGCATCAAAGAAAATACTCTTTACATAGGAAACTTTTGTACCTGCAGGTGATCTTCCCATACATGGTATAATCCTGTTGTCAAGGAGATCCAAGTCTTTCATGACCTGGATACAATGCTTCTTGGCTGACAGCCTTCTCACCAACAAAGACATGAATAAAGTGTAGACTTTTTTTCAATTAACATCTGGAAGATTTAATTTTCTACCAAGCCCTATTTTAATTTTAAAACTTATAATCTGCAGTCTGCAGCAGTGGGTGGATTCTCTGGTGAATTCAATTGCCACAGAGTCACACAAGCCCCTGACTATTATCAAAAGATGTGTGATAAACGAAGATTTTTTCACTGAAGAATTATCTTCATTTAGTACTTAAATGCACTGGCAAATAGCCTTTCAAATAGGCTTGATCATGGAACAACAATTTCTATTGGAGTATCTGGATTGCTTCATTTTTATTTAATTTGACAGCAGACTACCTGCAGTTTCACCACTTAGATTATTTTTATGCTCAAAGTGTTTGTATTGTAGTAAATTTTTTTATCCTATCTCTGCAATGGGATAGCGCCTCATTCTGCATTTGCTCTGGCTCTCTGTATTTGAGGCTTTTTGCAGAGAGGGTGCATCAGGAAGGTGGGAAACTCTTAACTTAGCAACTTTTTTCCTGTTGTGTTTTCCTGTTGCTGTACCCACAATGAGGGAATCTTGCAAAGCTTATTTTCAGGATGATTCTCTGGTGTTTCAGGTAGACCTGTGATGAGAAAGGGATATATTCTGTGATTTGTCTTGAACAAAAGAGCATGCAGATATGAAACAGAATTCAAACACCTCCTGAAGAGCAGACAGAGCTATTAGTGTGCTAGTGGTGTTCTTCATGAAGCACAAAAGGGCATCAGTGAAGGTAAGAAGCTGGCAAGTACTATGAACACTTCACATTCAGGGAGACACATAGCAGTCAGTAATAGATGTCATATCAATCTTTGGTAGCCTAATGTTTCTGAAGGGTTTAGATCACAACTTGTCTCTGAGAAGAGTAGGTAATACATAATAAATCAAAAGGAAAAGCAAACTGACCTTCTACTTCCTTTAGAGTTTTTCACTGATGTGCTGGGATTGTATGAGAAGCAGGGATCTGATATGGGAAGGTATCTGATTTTGTCTCCAGAGCACAAGATTCCATGTCCGAGGGAGAGACTCAAACACTTCTTAATGGAGTGCATCAGGCACAGCATTGCCTGCTGGTCAAAGGACATGTTTGCCCTGTTTTATTTTGCATTGATGTGGTCTCACCTTGAATCCTGTGTGCAGTTTTGGGTGCCACAATACAAGAAAGATTTAAAGCCATTGGAGAGTATAATAAAGCCTCTAATCTGGCCTTTTTATCGAGCAGTGCAAGATAGCCCGGGAGCCCAGACCTCAGGGAGACAGGGTGCCCGAAAGCTGGGCTAGTTCGAGGCCGATGCCGCAGGCTACCCCCTTTTCTTGGTGATTGCCAGCTCTATAGTGGTATCAGCTCTCTTAGGATCTCAGCTCTTAGCTTGCTAGGTACGTAGGCCTTGGCTTGAGCCTGCAGCAGACGGCGAGAGAAGAGAAGGAGTGCCTTGGGGTTCCACAGTGATGTTTATTGCAGGGGAGGCCATGAAGGTTCCAACGACAGCTCTTCTTCTGTCGAATGGGCTAAAGTAGGCCCCTTTTATAGGGTTAAGGGGGATCCAAACTTGACCAATAGTAAGGGTTAGGTATAGTGGCCTATAGGGTTACAGAGATAAGCTTTGGGGCGGGGGTCAGAGAGACAGGAACTTATTTTGCTGTCTCAGCAGTTCCTACTGTTCAATTCTCCATGGGGCCTTACCCAGATCCATGGGGTTTGCTACAGGAGAGTGTACAAAGGGGGCCCGCAAGGATGATGAAGTGTCTGGAGGGGAAGTCATATAAGAAGTGGCTGAGGTCACTTGGTCTGTTCAACCTGGAAAAGAAAAGACTGAGGGGAGACCTCACAGCAGTCTGCAAATTCCTCATGAGGGAAAGAAAGGGAGGAGGTACAGATACTTTAACTGTTCTGGCCAGTGACAGGATTTGAGTAAATGACATGAAGCTGAGTTGGAGGAGGTTTAGGTTGGACATCAGAGAAACATTTTTCACCCAGATTTGGAACAGAGTCCCCAGAGAAGTGACAGCACCAAGCCTGAGTTCAAGAAGTGCTTGGATAATGCTCTCAGACCCATGATGTGATTCTTTCAGTGTCCTGTGCAGGGCCAGGATTTTGCCTCAATGATCCTTACAGGTCCACTCTTTGATTCTCTGATTCTCTGATTTTCTGATTCTCAACAGCTTTTGTTAAAGAACCAAGAATTTGAGGAACAATGGACCCATTGAATGGAAAAAGACTTCTGGTGGTCCTTGCCCGGCTTCTGCAGAGAACTGAAACCACTGGGTATAGTTTCTGTCTTCAGAGACAAATGAACAAATCATCTGAAGTAGCAGCAAATACTCACATCACTAGGGCTGTCTACAGACCCAAGTCTAGGTGAAGAATGAATCCTTGTACAGATCATGAGAAGAAGGGGAGGTCTTGGTTCCTTGGTTCTTGGGTGTAGATACCTGCTACGAGCATGACCATAGAGAATTTCTTCCTTGTTGTCGGTTCACTATTTGTTCAGGCTGTATATGCAAGTGTAAAACAAGGATTTAATTTATTTGATCAAACAATTTTTTTTTACCTTATGAGATCTCCTTAAGATTGACTTTATCCTGCAGTAGTGTCACAGTTGGCCATCATTTAATGCCTCATCTTGTGAGGTCAGAATTCCACGCCCAACTGCATTTAGCAGGTCAGTACAGTAATTTTAAGTGTCTTTCTTTCAGATTTTTGCCATCTTCAATTATACCTTTCCTCCCTACTATTTGTGTAATTTTTTTCTGTCTGAAGACTCTTTACTGTTCTCTATTGCACAGCATGACAAATTACCCATCAAATCATATCTTTTCAGCCCAGAAATGCATGGTAACAGAGTCATGGCATTATCACATGTTGTGTATTTTATTTCCTCACAGTTCATTCAAGGGTGTCACTTTATTTTCCTTCTTCCTTTTGTCATCACATGAAGATTAACCACTCTAGTGCTCCTAAACTTTAGGAAAAGTTAGAAACACATCCTAAACTCAGAGCAGCACATATACAATTCTGCATCACTTAGCACTTCCCCTTCATGACAAAACCATATCAATGATTTTGAGTCCCTGCAGAAGCTGTAATAACGCATTCATCCTTATTATACAGCTGAATAACCTGGGTGTGGGCAAGACTATTATTTGCAGCCTCAGGCCATCAACCAAATTAACTGTGTGTCACTAATAAAGCCTCGATCTTGGCCTTATTATTGAGCGATGCAGGATGGTCTGGGAGCCCAGTCCCTCTGGGAGACAGAGTGCCCGAATACCCAGTCAGCTCGCAGCCACTGCAGGCCTACCCATAACAAGCCCAGTGATTGTCAGCTCTTTTGTGATTGCAAGCTCTCTTAGGATTTTATCTCTTCTTTGCTTGCTAGGGCAGCTGTTAGCTGAGGCAGAAGCACACGGAGAGAGAGGAGAAGGAGGTCCTGGCAGTTCCACAGCGATGGTTTATTGGGGAGACTGTGAAGGGTCCCAGTGACAGCTCTTCTTTTGTCGAATGGGCTAAACCAGCCCCTTTTTATAGGGTATAGGGGGATCCAAACTTGTCCAATAGTAAGGCTTAGGGAAAAGTGACCTATGGGGTTACAGAGACAAGCTTTGGGGCGGGGAGTCGGAGACAGGATGTTATTTTGCTGTCTCATCATGACTCAGCAGTTCCTACTGTTAAGTCTCAATCCTCCATGGAGCTTTCCCAAGCTCTGTGGAGTCTGCTACAAGTCACCACTCACTTTGATAGTGTGCACTAGGTTCTCTTGGGAGTTATGAAACTCACTGTGTCCACAATCTGTTCTCTCCTCCCCTCTTTCTCTTTAATTCAAGATAAACACCAGTAATTGTAACATTTGTGCTGAGATATCTCCCAGGCATTGCAAGGATCTATTAGAAAAGTGAACTGGAAGAGCTAAGAGTGTCGGCAGCTAATATACATATAAAAGACTTTAGAAATTGTGATTAAGAAGACACAGGGAAATTTTGCTGTTGACAGTATCGTCCAGAGCCCTCATTAGCATTCAAGAGGGACAGTTTGACATGAACAGGATAGTTCATGGGCTCATGGATTCCGCAACATGAGTGCTCAGTCTGAATAGAACTGCAGGAGCAAACACAGAACTGTCCTCATAACCTATCTCAGATGTGAGATAGGATCCTGTTCTTCTTTACAGGGTATTTTATGGGTCACTAGGAAGAATGAATGATTGAAACTTCTGTAAGCCAAACTAGAGGAATTAGCACTTTGGGTAATCAGAAAGATCACTTGGGATGAAATTTGGCTGGAAATAACTTCATGTGCTTCCATGTAAGTATTATTGTAATTAACAAAATACACTATTTTTATTTTATACCATTAACATTAATTTTATTATTTATTTAAGTAATGCTTGCTCCTAGAAAAGCATGAAAGCAGAATACAATAAGCTGAAAATGTCGTAGTGCGAAGAATCCCAAGACCCTTTTGCAGACTTGTGTTAATGGTCCAGTAACTTAAAGAGTGGCAGATACTGAGAGACTGGTCTTGAGAGGTGCTGGAAGAGCCAGAATTCCCGATAGCTAATATAGGTACAGATTTGGCACCACCCCACCCTCTGCAGCATTTTACTATAGCATTTACCTATTCTGTGCCTATTCTGAGTCTTACATGTTGAGATTTTTAAAATTCCAGGTATCAGTAGCACCACGAATAATGTAATTATATTTAGTTTTTTCAAGCATATCTTTGCAAGTTCAATGAGAAGATTAGTATAGAAATAAAAAGATGTGAAGAATTTAGAATAAACCTGACTTGTGAACCAAAGACAAAATATTTTACTTCGTTTTTGCAACTTTTTATGAACAATCTTGAAATTGATTTAAATGGGACTGGAAATCTCTGGATGTTGCAGTTAAAAGAAGATTGTCTTTTAATCCATTAAAAAATGGATTAAAAGACAATCTTCTATTGTCTTTTAATCCATTTGCTTTAGAATGTCTAGTGGAAAATCCAGCTCCAGTATGTTTTTCTATGTATTTCTTTGATATAAATTTGTTGCTGCAGCTGATAATTGTTGCTGCAATTGTAAGAATTATATAAGCTTTGTCACAGAAATCATATTGTAAAAGGTTCCAAAAAACTTGACAATGTTGACAGTTGTTTTCAGCAAAAGACTGCTTTACTGTAGCACTGTCAATGTTTATGTCCTTGTGTACATTTAAAAGAGCAATGTGATTAAGGCAAGCTTGTCCATGCTAGATATGAGCCAAGTTTTCAATCTCCTCATGGCACTGAAAGATTGCTCAGCTGTTGCAGACAAACAAGAATAGCTGGCAGATTTCTGACATTAAAATAAAAAAAAATCCTTGTCTTTGGGCATACATCTATAGGAATGTGTAACATCTGCTACTGACCTTAAGTTCTAGATAAGAACAGCTTCTCTTTGTAACTCAGATTCATGTACCTTGGTTTAGAGGATGCATTTCCAAGGATATTACTAAAGTCTTTTTGTAAAAAGATATTTGCCTAGACAGCAATCTAAAGAATGATGTACTTCTGTTCGTGATATGCATCTGTTAATTGTTACAGTAGTGAAATGCCATTATTCCCCTAATGTCACTTTCACTGCAACTTATGTCCACCTTATGTTGAATTTAAATAATCTATATTGTATTCTATTCTAAGAATATTTCTTATTTATACATGAAAATCAATGCTGGAATCTTAATTTCTGTATGCTGATTTATCTATCTAGAACATCAGTCATCTTTTCCACATTTTTTTTCACTCTTACTAGATGAAAAGCATGAAAAACTCATTTCTTTAACCTTTGTCAAGGGAAATGGGCCTGATTTAACATGGTCATATATTCCATCTATTGACCCTGAATTCTTTATGTAAGATGTCAATGCCATGGGATGTAGAAGATTTGTTGCTGTGCTTAGGTGTAGAAATAGTGGAATAAGTCAACTTCAACAAAATAATTTTATAACAAACCCAGTGTGATTTTCTTATATAAATTAATGTAGACTTTCTTAGTCCAAATATACTCATATTCCACTTTGTATCTATTAAAAACCCTTAAAAAAAATCTGGATTTCTGACAATACCCTGAGGGAGAGAAAGGCATCAATTTCAGGTTGACTCAGGGTGACCAGTTCAAGTTTTCCCAGACACTCAGTGTGAAGCTCTGCACAACATGGACTATTTAGAGAAGTCTATGGCTCAGGGAGGCAATATGGAAAAAAGCTCTGAAGCTATCTATAAATACTTTTTTTCCTGACAAGCTTTTCCAGTGAAAGTGTGTGGTACTGAAGGGCAGCATTGGATAGTGTAGCATTTGATAGTGTCTAATTACAAAACTAGCTTTCCTCTTCTTGCAACCCAGTGACACATACACTGTTTTCCAGCAAAATTCTGAAAAAAAATGCCTTGGACAAAAGTCTTCAAAAAAATAAGCCCAACTCAAGCCCAGAAACTAGTGTACTCTCTATATAGAATGATGAACTCTGATAAAAACAGAAGTTTATGACAAGGTATTTAAAGAGACACATACCTTGAGGTATTGTCCTCCATTGAGGAAGGAAGAAGATAATTTAAAGATGCACTCCTCATCTTAATTCTAATATTTCCCTGTATTTTAAGACTTGGTGCTATAATGTATATGCTTTTGTTTGAGAAAAAACTTGTTATGGTAAATCATGGGCAGCATCACCTGTGCCTCCTACGATTATCATGTTTCAAATAAAATAACACCAAGTGTAACAAGAATGGCTCTCCTCTTACTAGAAGCCAATATTAGTTTAGCATTTTGCATTGTTAGGTTAAAAGGATGTGATGCAGTAAATGCCACATTGCAGGAAGATGTATTAATTTTTACACACCCTGTGAAATGTAGGGTGACAATACACTTCTTTTCTCCTACTATTTTGGATAAATATTTGTAACCCAATACTCTCAGCTCAGAGAGCCGCAGTTTAACTCATGTTTCATTCTCAGGCTATGTGGTTGAAAACCTAAATCTCAGAAATGAAGGGCTGTAATTATCAACTAGTAAATCTCTCTCTCTCAGCAGTTATTATGTAAGGTCAATTAGAGTGAAGAATTTTCAATCTGGACTTATTACTAAAGGAAATCTTTCATGCAGAATTGATGAAATGGAAGAGCTTCTCCCTGTACCCCATCTGCTCTCTGCTTTTTGTGTCCCTTCACTACAGCTGCAGTCATTACCAGACTGACTCCACTTTGAAAAGCTAAAGCCACATTCTTCAGAACAGTTGCTTGGTGTTGGTCAAATTTCTCTGCAGACTTTTTTTTCCATTGGAGACATGGAGGCTCATGCATAGTTTCCAAGGACTAACGACTTTGCGTGTCTTCTGTCTCCAAAATCATCTCTTGAATTCCAAATATTTCTCAAGTGACTAGCAAAAGAATATCCAGGTAATTTTTGGCCTGGTGGGACAAATTTGAGTAGAAAGCCAGATGGCTGTAAAAATGGATTGTAAAGTAAGTATTTCATTTTATGTTATCTTCTTGTCTTTAATACATGTGTGCTTTCATTGTTACAGTTGGAGTGTTCACAAGATCTGAAGTGACTATGAAAGCTCACTAACTCTAGCAGCAATTGCTTTGTTGCTCAGACTGCAGATAATGTCACACAATGATTCATGTAAAAAAGCAATAATGCAACTCAAAAAAAGTAAAAGATGAGCAATAAACTAAACCTAAAGAGCTTGTTACCTTTCCCAAAACAACACTTTTTCATTTCTGATTTAGGTTTATTGTTTTCCCTCCTTCTTTTAGCATCCTTTACATTGTATACTAAAAATAAATGCCTTCAGGCATCAAACTTTTACTTCAAAATTACTGCCTTTCAGATCCTTTAGTTTCCTTTCAGGCATCTAAAAAACTAAAGTCAAAGTAACACTGAATAATTTGAAAAGTTAACATAATTTTGTTTATGGGAAGTATAAGTAAATGTAATTAAAATAACCTTTAAACATATTGTTTCCCTTCAATTCTGAACTAAATATTTTAAAGAACTGAAGTTTTAGACAAATAATTTTTTTTTGCTTTCTTTTCCTAACAAGACAAAGAAGAAAAAAAATCAGCCTCAAGGGACAGGACATGAACCCACCAGAGATCACTGTTCCCTTTCCAGCAAAAGGAATAAGTTTGGCTCACAACTTGCTTTGTTCTCTCTCAAAAAACTGTGCCTATATACCACTGGGAAGATGAGGGCTGAAGACTGACACACAACAACTGTAAATACAAACATACAAGTTGATAAATAAGGCCCTGATTCTGTAAGTAGGCCTGCCCAGACATAGCTCCCCTCCAGACCTCTGCTCAACCACAGTCAGTCTGCATTTTTATTTTTCTCTTCATTTTCAGTATTATCATGGACTCTAATTTTCTGAATACTCAAGGCTGACTGGTTAGAAGACATAAAATGGATAACACTTGATAATGAAGAAACCGCGTGCCAAGAAGAAAAACAAATATTTATTTTCTGACCATACCTGAAGTGAAAGGCAAAACATTCAAGAATTTCTTACCACAACTGATAAGGGAATTATCAAATCCCTTTGATTTTCTGCTTTCTGTGTATTGGCTAAACCTTGTTTCCCAAACTTTGGGACAAATTTTTTTAACATATGTTATATGAGCCCTGTATTACAGACCAAGTCAGGGAAGTCACTAGATATCCTTCACAAGGCTTGCTTAGATGTTCCACCTCTACAGTTTATTTTCTTTGGCTGAAACTGTAGGAGCAGTGGAAAAGGAACTAAACCACTACTGGCATTTTTGAGCCTAGTTAATGGGATTCTTCTCACCAGGAAAGTTTGGAATCTAATCTCGTCATTCAAGTTCCTTTTTCATCAGTGTTGCTCATACTTCAATGCTTAATCATAAATATTAAAAATGTATCACATATTTTGAGCTACATTTTAGAGTTTTCTTCACACTAAATAATTGTAAATAGTTTCTTCACAGTAAATAATTGAACTTAGTCAGCTGTGTGCCCCTTTTTCCAACTCTGCACAGGCACAACTAATGCAGGGTTGAACACAACCTTAATTTCTGCAGCGTGAGCATCTTAACAAAAATACATATAGAAGAGCCAGAACAACCAACTCCTGAACTTTTATCAGATGATGATTTATTGAATATAAATTTCTAAACCTATTCCCATAAAATATTTTTTTCTGTTGAGTGGTATTTGCCCAAGAAAAACAAGGCCAGAATATGCACCTTCTGTGGGCCAGGAGAAAATATGTCTCTGAATAGTATAGACCTAATAATGATTTATTAAAAAATTGTTGGGAAAGATGGAGCTTTTCAGACTTAACAGATTTTTTACTGGGTTTGCCAGTGTGGAATAAAGGAGAATCTGAAGATTTATTTACACAATGGAAAAAAGTTTTGCACATATTCAGGGAAGATTTAAGACACTGACAAAACAGATTCAGATAAAGTGTGAAAAAATAAATTAATTATGTGACCACTAAATCAAGGCCTTACAGACATGTCAGATGCTAGTTTACTCTTGTATGGACTTTGAGATCCTTGGACTCCTCATCTTTCCCAATGTGGTCAAGAAAATGCAGTAAGTTTTCAGTCTTAAGTGTAGATTCTTTGGTAGCCTATAAGAAAATGCTCTTTCTGGAACACCTGGAATTTGTGGTTATGTGCTGGTAGTAAAAACAGCAAAGCAACTGCTAAAAGAAATTCATTTGTGTCTTTAAGAGGAAGTTATATGTACATAAGTTTCATTTTCAGAAATTCTTTAGAAGCTTGGAAGTATCTGGTTTTATGCAAAGTTTCAATATTTTCTTTGGCTTTCTTGTTTAATTTAAATCTTGAAATAACACAGTTGTAATGCATGGCTGAAAAATCATGTACTTTGGAAAACAGTGTCTCAGTCCATGTGGAATAAATCTGCCCTCCACCTCAAGACCTGTGGTGTGACTAAGTGAAAATATAAAATAAAAGTTCTGCAGAGAAAACATGAGAGGTTTGTGTTTGTATGGTTTTTTGTTTTATCTGTCTTTCTTCAGATAGTTGTACAATTAATTCAACTGCCTCAGAAATCTAATCATACTTAAAATGAGAACTGATTCACAACAATGTCTTTGGAAGATTTATTCCTCAAGTATCTTAATTTCTGTATACTGATTTATAAAGCCATTCCAGATCTGTTACACAGCCTAATACAACGGGTAGGCTTTGCTGGTTCCAGGACCTCTAAAAATCTTGATGGTACCCTGAAAAACTGATATGCCCCAGTTGTGATCAGAGAGAGCACTAGAGTTGAAGCTTTGCTTAAATCTACAATTTGTCCTGGGAAGTGGTGAAAACATAACTTTACTATGGACTGTGTGGGATAACATATGTTTGGGGGGTATCGGGTGCTTCCAGCCCTGCTGGAATGCTTGGAAGAGGCTGTTTAGGTCAGATCTGCAGAACACGTACTGCTATCGGATTTGTGCGCCATCATGTAGATGAAGCCATGGCAACTCCAGGTTACATATCGGGATATCCAAGTCCATCAGGTGAGTGGGTATGAATTTGAGAAAGAAATTTGCGTATATGATAATCTGTGCCAGGGGCCTAGTGGTGGTGAAAAGAGTGCTGTGCGCCTCAGAATCCCATCCACCACCCCAACACCTTGGCCTGTTTTTTGGATAATCTATCAATTTATACATTGATGTATTTTTTTAGGAAAAAACACTTCAGGCCCAGGAATGGTACTAATAATGATGGTGTAGTTTCAAAGACAGTGTCTTGGCTCCAGTGCATGGTTTCAAGGAACTGTATTGAAGGCAGAATTCAGACCATTTTAGTACCAGAGACATAATTTAGCTGACTTCCATGTGATGAAAGATTAAGGAAAATGAAGTACTGAGTGTCTTGATCTCTGCTGAATATCTCTTTTCTACATCTGATACTGGGCCCCCTTTGCATGCAACAAAATTGACAGGGTCAATAACAAAAAAGCCCTTGTTTTGCTCATATGTACTGCCTTGTTCTATATAAATTGTTCTTTAAAGCAAAGTGCCCTACATAGCCCCAAAGTAACAAAACAGACTGTTTTATGTGTTAGTAGTTGAGTGGGGAATAAGTACTAGTAGGATTATAGGTGGAAGCATAAACTTTCATCATCCGCCTCAGACCTCAGAAAGGGGTATTATTAAATATTTTTTACTATTTTTTCCTTTTCCCCCAAGTGTGGCAAGTTGGAAATGAAATTTTCTAAGGCTCCAAGCTTTATTTGCACTTTCACACTGTTGTATTAATTTTGCACATGGGCACATGTGCCTTTTCCTGAATGCTGCTGTTGTGTTCCATCATCGTTGTCTCTGTGTAGAGCTTGATATGGAGGAGTGGATGCCAGTGCACCCAGGTTTGGTAGGGAAACTTATCTGTTATCAAAGCTATCATTTACAAACAACAGAAATACTAATTGAAATAGAAATGATCTTTTATTTCCATTGTCTGAAATGTTTGATAATGACTTTTTCCTTTGTTAAAAATGGCATACTACAAATTTGTCTTTGTTGGCAATTCAAGACCTTGTGTCCTCACTTAAGGTTTCAAATCTGCAGGCAACTGACAAAACTATGGAGAATCAGGTTAGCAATTGATTAGAGTAAGATAAAGAATTACACATTACGCTTAACTAATTTCTGATATAGGTTAAAACCCTTTCAGAAAATCTTCATTTATAATAAACCTGTTTTTTTCTTTCCCTGTGATTCTTATTAGGAGGATGTAATGTTTGCAGTGCCTTAGCTCTTGACGTAAAAGTCACTAAAGCCAATGGAAGTATATCTATGCATTTCACCAAGCTGTGGTTTGAAAGAATCCTGTAGAAAATACATAATTTATGTCTCTCCAGCACAAATACCCTTTAATTTTCATGGAAGATTTTCTGGTCCACAGTAAGGTATTTTTTATTAATGGGTAGCTTAATACATTTTGTTAATGAGAATAAAATTTAGCTCTGTTAAATTGAGATAGTGTATCTTGAATTGTAATAGGTTGTGCTCTATAAGTAAAATAGATTTTGTAGCAATGGCAAAACTTATATTTATTATGTGGCAATGATATATCTTTTCATTTATGATATTAAGATATTTTTTCTGATAGAAAACTAGGGTTGCATCAACAATTTGAAAGTACTTCGTTTACTTAGTTACAGCCTTTTTTTTTCCTCAAAGAAACAAGCACAATTTGAAAAACCAAGAACTAAAACCTAATGATCCAGTTCTTCAAACACACATGGCAGCAAAAGTAATTCCAGTAGATAAGGAGTACTGCTCTCTTTCATTATATTACTGAGGCAAAGAAACACGTTCAGAGCTGACCCTTGCCATTTAGTTTGTTCCTGCAATCCCCTGCATGAAAAGTAATTTTATGGACCTTTTTGATTTTATTGTAGAAATAAGATCGGACATTCTTCACCTGGCACAAAAAGAATGGCAAGATTCCTTGTTCCTTCTGCTTGGGTAAATATAGAAATTTGAAATCAAGCCATGCACTCTATTGTTGGTTGTTTTAAGGTTACCACATTTATGCCTTTAAATAAAAGCTTTAAAAAGAGTAATTTATAATTATGGACATCAATATTCTTATTTAGTTACATCCCAGTGTAACCTGTGCAACTCTAAGAAGTGAGAAATTAAATGTATTTAAAATGTGTACATTAAGGTACTTCTGAGTAATTTCTTGCTACTAGTCTAAGCCAGCTCAGAATTTCACATCCTTGAACAGATTGACTGTTTTGGCTTGTGTGATAGGTACCCTGCTATCCTGGACTACTTTGTGAGTGGGTGGAGATGGGTGCCTTTGAAAATGCCAATTGGTTGCTAACTGTAACAAGTCAGATTTGTATAAGAGTGGAGAAGGTAGAAGTACCTATGTAAAGTAAAAAAGTAAAATGGATCTACTGACATGCCTAGCACAGACCATGGAACTAGAAAGGATGCTTTCCAAATCACCCAAGACTTGGGTTTGAAGCCATTGACAAGGTTTCTGACAGGAGTTTTGGGGAACAGATGTTGGAATATTTAAGATGGTTGGCTGCATCTACAGGTAAACTAGCTGTGCAGGAATCTGTCTTGGGAATCCACATATTGTAAGGAAATCACTCTTTTTGTAAGAGTATTGAATTAACTGCCATACTTTTGCTTTCTAATCAGGAAAGAAAGATACATGGGAAGTCCAGAAAAGGGGAGTTTTGATTCAAAGTCTCAATATAACATCCTTCTGTGTTAATACACATACTGTATGATATCATTGGATAAAATCTGGAGATTTTTTGTCCTTCCATTTGGAGAGAAAGCACATACAGGTATCTTATGTTATTTAAGCATCAACATATTTGAAGTTTGGGTGAGTTATTTGCTTTCCAAAAAAGGACATCAAAACAAAGTTCATTAATTTTTAATTAACTCTTACGTGGGAAACTGTTAGTGAAATTATTGTTGTGAGAAACATCTCTGTCTTGGACTTACTATGATATTTAGCAGACTTAAAAAAGAACTACTTAAAAAACAGGCTCCCCTGTAGCTCAGTGTGCTGACTTCTGCCAAACCCAGCAGGTCTGTTCAGAAATATTTGCAGTCCTCCCAGGTTGGGACAGGCTGCTTGCGATCCTATAGGACACTGCTGGCAGCATACAGAGCATTCCTGGGTTTACAGGCCCTACATGATATTTCATGTAGCTCTTGTTTCTGTGGCTATGACCTGTTGCTGACAGTAAAGCTACCATCTAAACAAGAAAGACTTCAATCTCACAGTGTGCTGCTTTCCAGAGCAAGTGGTCATTTGCTCCGATTTCTCTTAACCACATTAGTGCTTAGGTTTGCTGCACGGATAAATACATCAATTTGGAGCAATATGCTAGACAAGGAAGAAGGGTTGCACTGGAAATACAGAATGCAATACAGTACATATTATTAAATGTGCCAGGAGGATAATATTATATTATCCCCAGTTTCAGCAGTTCAAATGTTCTCCTTACTAAAATAATAAATGTTCAAACATTCAAAGTAGTGTAGCCAAAATCCAGTTTAGGAAATATCTTATTTAGCTATTAGCAAGATGATATGACTTTTAAACTCCATCTCTGACACTAATTTCACCATTTCCCTGGTGCCATTGAAAATCATATTTTTTTCATTGCACTTACAGATCTGTACAAAAAGCAAAAGGAAAAAATAGTATCAGAGAGTGATTTACATTACATTGGATTTTACTGCACCTTGGCATTGCAAAGGAATCTTTGAAATAGTTGAAAACTACATAAGGAATAAGTCAGTTTCTAATTCACAGAAAAAAATATTCTGAGGTAAGTGAGCTAACCCAAACATTGTGGCTTAAGGAGCATTCTGAGCAATTGCTGTTTCAGCTGTCTCAATCCACAAGACACTATTATAACAGACTGGCAGTAAAGAACACTCACAGCCTCTTTTTACCTGAAAATATTAACTCTTACTGAGATGGCTGAGGCAAAGAATTAATTAATTAGTAGAGATTAGTACTGAATTAGAGATTTTCATCTAGGGGTGTGCAGCAATAAAAGAGAGGCTGATTTGACATCTTTAATTCAAATGTAAATACAAGACGGCTAGTCTGAAATTGTTGAGGTTTCTTTGGATTTATATCACTGCTGCTAAAAATAGAAACTGACAGTCTATTTTTAGATAATCCAGAGCTGTTATAGGTTGGAACCTTGCTGCTTTATTAACTACTGCCTTCATGAAATACCTCGAGCATATTTGAAAATACACGATTAATTTTAATACAGTTTGGAATAATCCTTCAAATGCAAATATGCCAAGGACTTCAGGAGTTTGTTTCCTGTCATACTTAATTGCTGATGGATGAAGGTCTTTTATCTCTGCAGAACCTTTAAGACAAGCCCTGTTTATGCCACAGAAATTATTTTCTTCAGACAACACTTGAAAAGCACCATAATATTTAATAGAGCTAATTTTTAAACTGATA